CAACAGTTATTTCTGAGAAGATGATATTACTGATGCTAAGCAATTTGTCCGAGTAACAAGGGGGTTCTAGCCGAGCTTCTTCGTTACTTCTCCGATAATTTTTGCTCATTAGAAAGATATCGCGCTTAGTTCTTTTAAATATTGAGTTTAAATCGAAACAATATAAAGCAATGGAATTTGAGGGTTCGTTGATATCATATTCAAGTTCATTTGGATTGGAATGCGCAAGCACGGACTTTTCTCAGTCCACTTTAGCTCGTATATCTAAAATTAAAGCCTTCCAAATCAGTGCATAGTTTCTGATGGTTTGAATAATTAAGTGAAGAGGCTCTTACATTAACTATCCTATATGCTTGTGTTCTGTGAAACATTGACGAATATTCCTATCGCAAACACACTTGGAATTTCGATGAAGCGAAGTCAAATGAGTATGCAGGATTCCCACAAGTGTTGCATTGCGTGGACCACATTTAAATCATTGTTAGGGTTTAGCATGAGTATCTTCTATTCTTCGCCTAGGATTATTACTACTGTAGTCCATAAAATGGATGTTGTTCTATACACTGTCTACTTGTTCGTCGTAACCAACGATGGTTCGAGAGAGAAAAGCATTATTTTGGTAGATCTCTTCCTCAACGGGGCTCAGATCCATGCAGCTATATAACTCTGTGAAACTTAGCTTGTTCTGAAGGTTAATGATCATCGAAACCCTTCAAGATCCACATCTTGATGATTTTTATGACAACTGCGTATATGGAGCAAACGCATTATGTTGATCGAACTGTGGTTGCGAAGGTCATCTCTATTACCCTTTTTGAATTCCAGAGACCTTCAGTAGTCAAGCATTCGTTTCATTTGTAGGCGCGACACCACATATCTTTCAAGAGTATTGCCAGAATCGGTGGTAGCCATGTGATCAGCAGAAATATCCCTCACATTACCAGTTACGTCATACTTCATGTTCCGCATTACAGGTCGAACGTTGGAGAGAAACCCATCTAAAATAGCAGCAAGCGGTGCCGATGTTGACCGAGTTTTGGAAGGACCACTGGCTGAGAAAGCTCTACGTCTGAGATTTCTATTGAGTATGAATAAAGACGTCGGAGAAAAATTCAGTTGTAGGTAGAAAGAAGAGTGTGAATCTTCGGGTTTCAAAGAGAGGTTAATGGTAACCATCTTGTTGTTCTTGACCCATGTGCTCACCGACTTGGCGCTACAGCATTACGTTGTTCAGCGGTGATACGGGTTGATATGTAAAAGAGAAGATCTGCGTAAATCAGATCTTTGAAAAATATACCAAAATCGAGGCTCAGCAGGCTGCTTCTGTTAAAATAAACGTGATATACTAGTTAAGAAGATAAAAGGATAATAACGGAAGATAGCAAGGGATAAAGAAGTACATTGAACTGGATCGCCTAAAGACTCAGAAGAACTCCGATGAGAAACTCGAAGTGGAAATTTCGACGCATTCATTGTATGCACAAGTGAGCTATATCTCTCTGGATAACTCACAGCTGGATTTTATTACTAAATCCTGAAGCTGAGGCAGAATCCACCTAAGAACTCCCAAAGCCGAAGTACGCTAGACAAGGAAACGAGTGAAAGGAGTGCTGGGAGTTGTATGATGGGTGAAGACAGGTCATCGATGCACTTACGTAAATGACAAGTAAATGGTTAAAGTAATAATAAAATGGATTGCAAAAAGTTAAAATTGTTATTCCAAGCTTACGATTGCAATTCAGGATGTTCCACCGTTCTGGATCAATCTAGGCAGTGGTACCTTGTCAAACCTCAATTATGCCAGGTAAACACTTGCACTAATTTTCCTTTAAAAAAACAAACCAAACTTTTTTGCACGCCAGTGTATTTTAGAGCCATCAGCGTTGTCTTTTTTTTTACTATCATCAGGTTTTACTGTTTTTGCTTTGAATGCTAAGTAGTCATACCAGCCACCGCACAAGTTCTAATGGAAATTAATGAAAGAGCAGTATTTTGTTGTGATAAAACGTCTTTATTTCTACTTCGTGACTAATTAAAATAAATTAAAGTGATTGTAAAGTGGACGAGAGTTCTCTCTTGAACAATATGCAGTCACCATTAATTGTCGAATAAGGGCGCGCTTATAGTGCAGTCGTTAGAGGTGTCCCGAATTCCCTGCAACGTATGCGTCATCGTTGGTTCGATCCTGTACGCGAGCGAACCAAACCCCGTCACCTCCTTCAACTCGTTAAATTAGTGCCAGAATTGTCTGGAGGAATGAAAGATCGGTACTATTCATTGAAAAGCTATGTCATTGTATAGGTCAGATATATTTAATCACATCTACTGTGCCACGAACAGATTAGAATGCGTGGCGCCTACGTATGGGTTTCATCAACGCCAGACGCCTTATATTCAGTCTTTATACATGGAATCATTCCATGTATACATATGTGCATATGTTTTTGTGTGTGCTGACCACTTCTTGTATGTGTACTAAGTTAAAATCCTGAATTCCCACGATTGAAAGGTTGCGAATGCTATCGCGGTTTTCCATCGAAGAATAAGCAACTTTGTCATCTTATTACCCATCAATACCACCAATCACCAACGAAGAAGCCGAGCTAGCCAACCGTAAGTGCTGTACGTGTTTTTCATGCGAGTTGGTCCTACGTAGTGTAACTGGAGCGAGATACAAATGGTAAAAGACTTTGGTTGGCTCTTCAGTTAAGGCATTTCATGATGGGCCGATTTATCAATAAGCACTATAAACTATAAGTATGATTCCCTCAAATACCAACTGGCACTATGCCAACGCCAGCACTTCTTCACCGTTCGTTCCATTTCCTTGCACCCGTTATGCAAAAAGGTCTTCGGATTTGCAGATGGGTTCGCCGCCACTTGAGGATTTTTTGTCTTATTTGCAAATATCTTCGAATGTGATCCTCCCTTGAATCCTAGGAACAGCCACTATACGAGTCAGTCTTCATCACCTCTAGATGTATCTTTTCTGGATTGGAAGAATCGTGCTGATTACAGACAATTCTAGACTAATTTCCTCTGAAAAATGCGAGGTTTGATTGGACCATGGCGAGGTCGAGTGAGGGTATTGTCCATATTGATTAAAGCACAACCACTTTTCTGCCCCGCTCTATAAGCATAATTGCATAACAAACATATTTTAGGAGACTATAGACCGATGATGGAAGAAAACTTTATAGATTGCCGGTAGTAGAAAATGTTTTCATTATATTTCAGTCAACAACTTTTAAAGCGAGGTGTGATTGAGGTAAAACGAAGAGAGTCAATCGCTCGAGCACGATGTTTCTTCAATCCGATTACTTGCTAACAAGCCACACCACCAGCCATGTTCTTCATCATTCTGCTGCTGCTATGCCAGTAGTTATTGTGCTCTTTCTGAATAAACAATGAAGATGTTTTCATTGTGAATGAAGACTGTTCAGCATCATAACAAAGATCTTCGATAGTTATGTGGTGGTTTACTTAGTTTGTCGTCATTTGAGCAGTCGACCTTTCTTTTCTGAAAAAAGTCGTACACTCAATCTTTGTGTCATAAGAGTTGTATACCAGTCTTCGTGAACGAATAAAAACGTTTTTAAAAATGACAGAAAGAGATTTTCGTAAAACCATGGCATTTAGTTCAGCATGCTTTTGGCTGTGGGTAAAGAATGTCAGAATTCTAGCGTTAATGATTTCTTCCATAGGAGAGGGACTATATTAACTAAGAATGCTAACTCGCCGCCACCGTGGGATTGTAAACCGTATATCCTTGTTGTCCTGAAAACTAAGTCGGAGCAGGACAAAACACATGAGACAGGCCATCCTCATGTATGACAGTTGCATGATAATCGATGGAATAAAAGAAGTATAGGGACTCATACGAGAAACATAGGCGGATCATTTTAGAGTCTGAATATAAATAAGTCGTTGAGAGTACTCTGCTTGGGCCAGTACCGTCTTTGATTTCCTTTTTTATCGGCTGATTGAAAATTTCACAGCAATAAAGGCTTACCTTAACCTTACAATTACTAGTGAAAAAAGTATTTTGTCACGAGACAGAAAGTAACATGCTCCTTGCTCCTTCAAAGCGCCGATGACATGACGACTTTGAACTATAGTAACTGGTGTAATGCTTTGGAGTTAGAGTATCCTTTCCAGTACCAAGTTTACACGATGAGGCCGAATATAGGGATCGTTTACATAGAGGTGGAGACACATGTAAACAGACAGACAGGAATGTAATGGAAGATGCAAAAACTTCCGAAATGTTACGTATAACCAAAAACATATTATATTGGTGCAAAAATTAATAGGTTGAGGTTTATTTCGATGGCAAAATCTAATCGTAAATGTCGACTTTTTGTGAGGTACATGACCTTAACACGCTCTCCAACTAGGTCGAACACAATTTGTACTAATCAATATGTATTCTTTCTTGATAAGCTTGCACGAGGTTGATAAATATATTTATTTTCGGCTAACGTTTCGACGTCTTCGTCTTCCTCAGAGCCGATGATCCGAGTCGATGGTCCATGCTTGTTGTTCGCCTCGACGTTGCGTCTTCACCTTCCTGTCGAGCCAGATCTTCCTCAGCGAGCCATCTTCTCGAATGAGGCATCCTCACTCAGTGATGCCCTTTTATACACGATGCTGATGGTGGATATATAATGACGACAATGTCCGGTGGTAACAACTTGTATTTCTTCCGGATATACATCATTGCGCACATCGTGCAGAGGTCGGTGTATTATCAGCTAGCACAAAGCGTAGTAATATTTCGAAACCGACCTTCCCTAAACCTCGGTGTGACTAATCAATATGTATTCTTTCTTGATAAGCTTGCACGAGGTTGATTTTGACAATTTGTACTGTTTTGTAATACATTCATCGGTCAGTCTTCAAAATCCATACTTAGCCTATCGGTTTGAGAAGCACGGGAATCTGGAAGCCGACAGGTCGGAATAACCTTCACGGTCTTTCTTCACGACATATTTCTCTAAATGCTCCGTAGAAAATCCTGGAATAATGCTGGTGTCGTTGTTGTTGCTGGCGTTCCTGCTGTCGCTATTGTTGCTACTACTCTTGATTCTGCTGGTTTTGTTGTTGCTGTCGCAGCTTTTGTTGCTCTTACTGCTATCGTTGTGGTTGTTGCTGATATTGCTCACCGCAGTCAATACCTCGCCTTTCGCTCATGGTGGGAGGGAAGAAACTGAGCACGAAGGCTTTCTTTGTCATTCTAAGGGTGCCGTTACATATGCATAAGAAATGACGGGTCATCGTTATGGTCACTTCCAAATGAACGGCTAGTGAACTTAATTTAAAAGAAAGCCCGGCGTAACAAAATGCGGTACCAGACTATGGGTGTGGGTTAAACTGACCCCTTCTAGTCACTTGGAAGCGCCCAGTACGGCTACCTTAAAATTCCAGGAACATCGGTACGATCAGTAATAAACGACGTTGGCTAAGAAGACGAAAAAATCTTCAAGCAGCCGATGAAACCAAAAGTGGACAAGTTTGAAGATCATCGTGAATGGTCGATGCGAGGACGCGAAATGAAAACTTCTTGTCCTGATAACCGAATTCCTGTTCGTTCCATTACTTTAGTTCTCGAAATATTAGCTTTGAGGCAATAAATAGGAAGAAATATATGTTGTCGTCTTCGGAAAGTCAGAATTTTATCAAGGTAAAGGCAAAAAACTACCTCTGGAGTTAAATATTTCCATATCCCAATAGTTTTCATAGCAGGTAATAAAAATTGCTAGCCGAAAAATATTGACTCAAAGTTAAAAATCATCGTCATTTTCGCACTATATGACTCCTGTAGAGGTCACTCCGAATCAAATTTGGAAGTCGTCGAAGTAAATAGGAATTCTGCAGAGTCAGTTCAACTGGGTTCAATGCCGATGCCGGCTACCCAGATCAATCCTTTTGACGGTTAATTGCTGATGGTACTAGTAGATAGAAAACTAGCTGAGAGAAACGCAGAGCAAGGGTCTTCGTGGAGCAGTGTGTAATTGGCAAGCCCCGAAAAAGGAAATCGTGGTTAGATCTGGCCTGGGGTCCACGTTTTGCAAATATCTCAGCATCTTTGTGGTTAAGTTGGAATTTAGACGCCGTACAATCGAAGGAATTTCGTTGTTTAGAGATTGCACTGAAAATGGCACTTGGACACTTGGACGACCCGTCCTCACTGATTGTGCGGGCCCTAACTTATTCTCCACTTATCGGAATTTCGTTGGTTTAGCCACTGTGGTTCTCTGGAGTCCCGAGGTCAGCCTGGCTAAAGTCTGCCTTGGGTCGTCATCACCGCAGGCAGTCGCAGCCCTTGAAGATCAGAAGAAGATTTTCCACCATGCGACTAGTTTGACACCAGCACGGTGGTGGAAAACAGCACCCTACTGACAGATCTATTCTTTGGTTACCTGTCTATTTACCGCCGAATAAAATCAAAAAGTAAATCTTAGTTTTGTTTGAGAAGGTCAGATGAACCATTTTTAAGGATTTCACAAAATGTCTAAGATGAAAAAGACAAACAGATTCTTGAATTAAAGCCATGAATCGACACCTATCCGTTGGTATGGATGGTGACTGTAGGAAGTCGGTGTTTTTGTGAGAAAGTACTAGCTGTTTAAAAGAAGGTTCAAGCGAAATGTAGGAAAAAGTGTGCTGAAGAATTATTAGAGTGCACTTCATGCGAATACAGGTTATCCGAATATCCAATTAGTTAAGCGCCCACGGCGAAGAAAAAACTTAGAACAAAAACACGAATTCATTTGCACCTGCTGATGGAGATGGCAAAAACTTGAAGATGTTTTGAAGACGCGCTGGTAACTGTACTTTAGGTGTGGACAAGTCATATGAAAGTCTGAGTAATCCACCACATTCTGCTGCGGTTCACTTGTGACGCAGTCTGATTGTTTTCCGATCGTCTCCTAGGGCATCTAGCGATTTCAGCCCGTGACTCATCGCTGTCGACTCTAGTCATATATACAGTTCCATACCATCGCCAAGCTACCATTTATGATTCGTTTGGTTATCGGAACACAAATGATAAAGTGTAAGCATTTGATATAATTAGATTTCAGAGATGCTTGCATGAAGTACGAAAAAATAAGGGAGGAGCTTATAACCGTAGCATTTCGTTTATGAAACCTTCTAAAAGATTTATCATTTTTGTGATTAAATAAACCAATATGTAGTATGAAGCGAAGTACAACCACAATAATACTGAGATATTTGCAAAACTCCAGACTGCAGTTGTTTGCGCTGGGGATCGTACCCGCTACTACCCTTTCGATGGGTTAACGTATTCACCACCACACCACGCAGGTCTTTCGTTTCGCCCTTCTCTCAGCCTTCTTTTAAGTTTTAGGTGCCACCAGCAATCACCTGTTAACGTGATTGATCTGGGAAGCATAAATCGGCATTGATCCCAGTTAGGCTGAAGCTGGTCCATTAATCACAATGTAGTCACACTTTAATAGCGGGTTGGTTCCACTCCACAGACACCTGTGGTCCGGTGTTTTGCAAAGGTCTCATTTTGATTATATTTCATATCACACAATGCCTTGAAAAAAGAATAAACAGTAAATAAAAGTGACTGATCCATGGTATTGCATAGATCCGTTATGTTCCAAAATTAGAAATCGATACACGTTTAGGTCTTCGAATTTTTTTACTTAGGATATGTGTAGCCGTATTAAGATGATCAGTCTCTGCAGTAAATATCAATCTATCCTACGATCTTTCTGCAATGGCAATCAATTGAAAGGTCAAATATCGTTTAATTCCGTCCTTTAAGCGGCAGAACACAGGGCTATTCATGGATTTATTACCTGGACGGCATTTAACAATAATCGTTTCATAAATCACATTGTAATTTATGACGATACAGGTGGTGAACGTTTGAAATGGTAATGCCAAAAGAATTAAAAAGAAATTGAAACTAGACAAATTTCAGCAATAGAGGATTTGTTTAAAGAAAACAGCATTATAAGAAGATGGAAATTCCGTGAATTAAAAGTAAGGAGGCTGACGTCGGTTAGATTTTGTCCATTATAAGCATCGTCGGGCAGTGGTTGTGGCGACTCATGAAATACACACTGACTGGGTCACTGGTTCGATCCTGCGAAACTGCAGACCAAAGCCCGCAACACTTCGATATCGCCAGATTGGTAGAAGACTTTTCTGGAAGGATAGTAGCAATGATATAATAATCTATAGGGAACCGCAAGTTATTGTAAAGGTCATATATGCACTCACTCATCTGTACGACGCTACGAATGGAGATGAAGGCATGGTGCATTCCTTGAAGGCTGGTCAGTGGTGAGCATTTTGCCCTTCATTCTTTATTAGTTCATTCCTTCTATCTGTTCACTCCTGGCGAAAAGCATTACGTAAGTATAGAGAAGTGCTATGAGATTATAAAGCCTTCTTGGCCTATTCCTTGGAATTGTTTCTGTGTCAAAATCTTGGAATGAACAGCTCTCACAAAGTTTTTTTAAGCTTGTGCATATATAAGTGTGTATGCTTGCGTTTAGCAGCGCCCATGTGGCTCAGTGGTTAGAGGTGCTCTGCAGTACACACGTGGTCTTTGGTTCGATCACTCGCGTAGGGCTCACTAAGCATTCTGTCTCTCTAGGCTCGGTAAATGAGTATCAGACTTGTCTTGAAGGATAGAAGCAGTGACTTGATACATTAGTAGGCCATCGCAAGTCATTGTATAGGCCAGACATGCATTCAATCACCTCTAATGATGTTTATTGAAGTCGAATGCCTGGCGCATCCATCAGGTCAAGGCCGAAAGCTTTTTCTTTGTGTATGTATACATTTCTTTATGCATATAGGTATGCGGCATATATGATGTACTTATGTATGCAATCTATGCATATAGCATTGCCGTTCAACAACCGCAAACCCATAGTTCAAAGCTCACGCGACATTGTGACTGCTTATAGTGTACACCTGGAAAGGCCCCAACACGGCTATTCCAAGATTCCAGTGAGGATCGACTTGACTAGCATTCAACGTTGTTCATGAAGGGCAGTGAAATCGTTAAACAGAATTCGAGCTCACGAATCCGAGGACATTCGTTCATGACGGATTCAACGGAACGAAACCAATGAAAATAATGTTGGAATTGAGATCTGTACGGTGTGTGTTGTCTAATCATATAAAAAGTATGTGTATACTAATGTATGTAATGTATTCCGTCTATCTTCTGCTCTGGTCATCAGGCAAGGCGGGTCGTCGTTCGTCGATCCCCTCTCCATCATCATCAGACGTCGGCCATTATGAATGACTGCTGCAGGATGCATAGCGTGCTGCTCGATCGTTCGCTCGTTGATGTCGTCCATTTTTACGATGAGTCAACTAATGAAATGAAACAGTGACTATAATTCATGTCGATAAAGTGAAAACAATGAATAACTAGCAGCGGAAGAGGTCCACCATTAATTTTTGTCGGTCTTTTCGTTTTTCTCTTTAGAATTTTTTGTTTTTGTTTTACAAGAGTTAATATATGTTCGTGTAAGATAAGACGGAAAGTAGAGTCTCCTTGAGCGGAAATGAAAACCAGTGATCTGAGAAATGTTAAGAAGGAAAATTTCTGCGAAGTGGAGAAATAGAAGGTTTTGTTAGGACGAAGGATTTTAATGAAACATGATTAAAAAGAGAATAAAGCTCCTGGCGTTGATCAATCCCTGAGGGTTGCGCCATGCATTCAACTTCATTCGGAATCGTTGGAGATGACTGAATGCATATCTGGCCTTTACAAGGACTCGCGGTGGCGTGCCGTTGTATAGAGGCAGTGCTGCTATCCTCCCAGGCAACTCTGGTACCAATTTGCCCAGCCCGGAGGGATAGAACGCTTGGTGAGCTACGGGCGCGAGGATTGACCCCATCTGTGTGTCGTAGGACGCTTCCGACCACTGAGCCACGCACACCTCCTTGAAACATGATATATAACAAGATAGACGAACAAAAGTCGAAGGGAATTTAAACAAAATCCAGAGAAAAGTGATGAACATAGAAAAAACAACGCGAGAAAGACGACAAAATTTAAGATAAGAAGCTTCAGTAGGGTTAGTAGCTTTCAAATGAGCTACCTAATCTTCTCTCGTGTATTATTGAACGATTAAGGCCAGCGTAAACGGCGCATGTGGCGCAGTGGTTGGAGGCGCCACTGTAACACACACATGGAATTGACCCCGAGCTCATGACTCACCAAGCCTTCCATCTCTCCGGGGTCGGCAAATTGGTACCAGATTTGTCTGGGAGGATAGTAGCACTGGCTGGATACATCAGTAGGCCACTGCTAGTCATTGTAAAGGCTAGATATGCGTTCAATCACCTGCAACGATACTTAATGAAGCCGAATGGATGGCGCGTCCCTCAGGGATTGATCAACGCCGAAAGAAAGAGAGAGAGAAAGAGAAAGGCCAGCGTTGCTGAAGTCTTCATTTTTCTTTGTTGTATGTTAGAGTTACCGAATTGCTTCGCCTCACTCTAAATATACAAAGATTACCATGATTTTCATTGATATTGTCGTTGTATGATCACGATAACCTGTTGCATTAAATCGTAAGCAGCTTCTTTTCACTGATTATTTTGAGGAAACAACGCAGTTCACGTTTGACTGATTGCAATCATGTCATATGGGACAGCGCTTTCGACTTTTCATTGTTAACACAGACCACGGATTCCTCAGTCACATTGTCCGAATCACCACACACTGCCTGTATCAATTCACTGATAGCTTGCTAAATAGAGTAAACCTCATTATTATCCTGTTTTTTTCATAACGCTTTGGTTGTCGATGCCTGTACGTTGAGGCAGAGCGATCATGAGATAGCACGGAGAGAGAGAGAGTACTTTGTCAACGTCATTTCTTCTTTGATGCATCTATAAGCTTCCCAAGTTGGTCATTTCCTCCTGCTTATGTCTTAAGGGAAATCATTCATCATGTTCATTCCCGACCTAGATATTTCTATAGATAGTTGAATGATATTCGGAGGAGTTTTTTATTTCGTTAAGCTTTAATGGGTCACTTCAGAAACAATTCCGTTTCCCATGCACATAAATCGCTTTCGGTTCAGCCGCGGAATTATCTCCACACAAGCGTAGTCAGAATAGATCTGTCTTAGTAGTATCGGTCCGGCTTAGGCTTGATTCTATAAGAATGTTGTCATCAACAATATACAGATGAAGTATTGCTGTCAACCATCCATACAGCTTTCTATCCCATTTTATCTTTCCCAGAACTTGTACGAAACCCCATCCCTAATTCTGACCCCTTCCTTTATGACAAAGACGAAAACGGCGATAAAGATGTGAAGGAAAAAACATTTGATGTTATAGATGCGCGCTATGCATTCATTTCCATTTGTAGCTTCGTATAGATGACCGAATGCGTATTTTCCCCACATAATGAGTTGCTATGACAAAGTAATATATTAAATCAATTTTTCTGCTCTACCAAATAAGTCTTCCCAGTGGTTTATCACCTCGACGTGCCCGGGAGGTGTTTCCAGGTGCTGGACTGCGATGTAGAGCGAGGGGTTAGCTCCCACATTGAGATCTCGGAGAATGAAAATTATGCTGGAATACAAGCAACCAACAAAGACGGGTCACCATCCACGTATCCAAGTAAGTAGGCGTTAGAGAAGTCTGCTATCAACACGCCGATTTCAGTGGGATGGAGGGTTTGCTGTATCGAACGCACTAGATCGAACCGAGTCCACTTGTGTTTTTGCGGTGCTCTTCTAACCCCTGCGTCACATGGAACGCCTTAAGAAGAGATCGGATTGCAACTGGCTACTAATTAGAAGCTTCTAGTTTTAGAGCGATAGACATGCTTCTAACCACATTAATTCAATTCCGAACGATCGATACAATGCAAATGTATCTGAACAAAAATTTCTACTTTTCCATTTATTATTTACAATTGTTCTTATAGCAGATCACCTTCCAAATATGCATAATATTACAAAAAATAAAATGGTAGACTTTTCTTTAAAAACAGGACAAAAAATAAGTTCCAACAATAAAGCAATCAAATTAGTCCAGTAGCACCAGTATAACTACCGTCTACATGCATCACGTTTATGTTAGCAAAAATAAGTAAGATTATCGATCGCTATTGATCGATAGCGAATGATATCTATAGGGTGACAGAAAAGTGGCGAGGTAGAATTGAACACCTCTCTAAGACGATCTGATGACATTCATCGCTGTAATGTTCTAAAAGCGCTAAACATTTTGTCTACTCGAGACATTAGAAAAGATGAAGAAAGAGAGAGAAACAACGAGAAGAAGAAAGTAAGCGCGCATTGATTTGCCTAGGAAATCGATACCGTTTTACAGTCTGAACATCACGAATGATATTGTAATAATCGACGAGATAACAGAAGTCCATAGTGATGCTATAGATTGCTTGCTCTCATCATTCCTATCTGAGTTTTCATCACTATGTAGGACTTCTTTGTGCTTTTGTGATTTCTCATGCTTTCGCAATTCCTCTTCTTCCGTCAATCGACGTCGTTCATCAGCGCGTGCTCTTTCTCGCCTTAATAACATAAGTCAATCGGTTATTGATCAGTCAGCAAAACGGTCTAGGAAAGTCTACCATGTGAAATTGCCAGTTACCTTTCCATACGGTTACGTTCTCGTTCCTTTCGTCTCTGCTCTTCACGTTCTTCCGCACTATCTACATCGTCGCTTAGCATCTCGGCTTCTTCATCTGCTAACAATTGCTGTAATCTTTCGTCTTCTTCTCGCATTTCTTCCAGTAATTTCCGTCGAGTCTCTTCGAATTCTTTTCCGAATTGTGAGACGGCGGTAGACGAAAAGAATTCCTAGAAAAGTGTTCCATGGTAAACTCTTCAAAATGTCAAGTATTATGATGCAACACTGGGACTTCTCGTCCACTTTCGATGGTGATGAATTCTCCATGAAAACCTTAGTGATTTAAAATCTTAAAATTGCAAATAACTACTCAAAGTATCAATGACAGTTCAAGCGAAAACTTCATTATCCAATATTTTCTTGTTATCTGATTTTCGAAAGCGAAATCCCTCTCATAAATATACTCCACTGCGCAAATCATCCTCAGTCCATCGAATTAGAACTCACTAAAGAATTCTCGTCCTCTCTTTCTCTCTCCCTTTCTCTCTCTCTTCACTTCCTCTTTTCTTCCTTTCCCTCCATTTCTCTCACTTTCGGCTCCAAGTCGTTTTCAATCGTCTCGACGGTCGTCGTCGACAACATGGTAGTCGATTCCGGAGCGAACGTCGTTGCCCTGTCCAGCATGTGACTTCTCCCATAGGTGACCTTCGTGGTCAATGGCGGCGCCGTAGTGGAAGTGGTAGTGATAGTGGTAGTGGTTGTGGTGGTGGTGGTCCTTTCTGTAATAGATCAGAATAAAAATAGTAATCAATAAGCATAAAATCAAATACAGAAAAGTATAAAACAGTCATAATCATAATAATAATATGAAAACAAACGACTAAAATAAAACAAAAATGTAAAGAAATAGTCTTTTCTTCTCGCTTCCACAACTTGAAATGTTACTGCCAATGCGATTTGTGTCCTTTGGGACTTCTTTGCTCTTTTTTCTTTCATTCTTATCTTCCTTACTGAAGCCTCCGCTATTTGAATGATAATGATTGTACAAACATGGAAGATAAAACATAAAGAACAAATGCAGCTACTATATTTTTTTATTTCATTTTATATGATTCGCCTTTACGTCTACTGTGCCGATCCCAGCACTTCTCAGATTCGATTCGTTTCCTCGCAACCATTGTCCACGAAGATCTTCCAACTTTTACGTGTGGCTTCGGTTGCTGCTTGAGGATTTTCATTTTATCTTGAATGTCGTGGAATGCTGCTCGAGCAATTCTTCCTGGAGTCCTGAGATAGCCGGACCGGAGCCTTCCCAATTGGCTTGCAGAGAGTGATTTTTTCCCAGACAAGCCCGGCACCAATTTCTCTATCCCGATGGGATAAGAGGCATGGTTGGCCCGGTACGGAATCGAACTATCACCAAGCTCGTGATGACAGACATCACTACCACTCTGCTATCTGCCCCGTGCAGCTATTATAAGCTCTATAATATTGTAAAAAATAGAAAGTGTTTTGCAAAATAACTGGAGTAAAGTGGGGATTACTATTTCATAGCCGTAGCACTATTTTATTTCTTGAGTAATGCAAGTGATTAGTTATTGCGCTAATTATTTCTTACATTAAATCGATTATATTTTGTTGAGGAGTAAATAATTTTCCCAAAAAAAACTGGTAAGAAATATGAATTAGGGCCAGTTTTCGGAGCAAAAGATAGAGCATTTCAGGCCAAAAAGGTTTCCATAGAAACAATTCATTGCAATGTCAACATTTTGTTTTTTACGAAAATTTTTCCTCAATGAAGAAATTCGAGCAAATTCGAAAGGAAAAATGATCCTTTTGAACAGGAAAAACTCCTTCAGTGGAAATTGGAGGGCAGGAGAAGCGAGGAGTGTAAGATTTTAACACGAAACTTCTAGAAAAATAGCAATGGAAACTTTAAAGCAGAGCACATGGTGTAAGAAGATCTCATTTTTGAGTGCTAAGATGTCCAATGTTTACTCAATGCCATATAGGATTGTAAATAAAGAAAAAAAAAAGAAATGGATTTGCAAATTTTTCATCCTCTCCTACATTTCCATCTTACGACTCATCCCGTTCGGCAACTGCCAGCCGCGTCACCATCTACGGCGGCTACGCGGCAATGTGTTTATAGATGTCATGTAAGTAAAGACGAAGCGGTTGATATCAGTTTCACCACTGCATATTCGTCTGGACAGGGGCCATTCTCATCGACAATCGTGTGGTAAACTGTGACCGTGTTCGACTAGAAAACGGAGAACAACCAAGAGAAGAACGAATAAGAAACAGCACTGAGTTCTTGGACACATTCAGCACTCAACAGAATTGTTTTAAAAAAAAGATATATCAATGACTTTAAAGACTTCGCTCGATGGCTTAATCAGTCAATCCTGAAGAATTCGACTTCGATTCGAATGCATTCGAAAACTCAGAGACTCGGGTGGTACCCTAATTCACACGTTTTTTCACTCAACTACAATTCTAAGACATCACTGTTCTACCAGAGTTCATAATAGAAAAAGAGCAGTCATGGTACAAGAAGAATCAAGTAAAAGCTACACGTGCTTCATTTTCTTTCTCTGAATATTTTTTGTTATTGGATTTCTTAAGAAATATTCTGCAACGGTTGGAACAAATTTCTCTCGACAGTAGTAGGACACAGAAAAATTGGCCTGAAATATTTCAGTTTCACCTTTATTAAAGAAATTACCCACGACACGGTTAGAGTTTCTGGATAAAAATTGCTCGATCTACCTTGCAAATGTCAAGGTGAAGTGAGTTAGATGCTGCTTTCGACCCCCCTTGATCGCATGTGACGTCTTCATTTACAGATGATTTTTGGCAACTTTGAGCTGCTGATAGCCGTAATAGCCATAAGGCGCTACGTTTGAAAAATATGCCAAATGAAGAAAAAGTTCACATACGGGTTACGAAAGTGTTAGACAAGTAATTTTCTTGGAACGGGTGAAAAAACGGTAACATGCGCAAGATGAACTGTGTTCTGCCAGAAGAGACGTTTTTCCTTCTTCACATAGAATTATCAAAACTCCCGAGTTATGTAGACACTAATCATCATAGTGATTATCCACTGGCCGAAGCTCAATGTAGAACAGCTTAATTCAGGTCCCGTTAACAGCAGCGAAAAACTTCAGCTTCGTTTTAGAAGTGAGCTTCAATTCAAAATTGATTGACACCTGATGTATTAGCTGTCATTTCCCTCACCAACAAAATTTCCAAGAATGCTAAAAAGGAAGTGGATTCTTAACCTGAACAGATTTCCATTCAACTGGTAGAAAATCTTCTCGTGGAAGATTCACCATTGAACTCGATCTGGATTTCCTTGACGTGGAGACCTGAGCTTTCATCTCCATTAACAGTTTCTTTGAGAAGCTTCTTTCTACGCCAACAGCTGTGAAGTGTTGCCAATATCACAGTCGTTAACTTGATGACAAATTTATGTTGATATAAACTTTCCAGCACCTTTTAGAACTCTTCCAGTCGATGTGCAATCTAGTCAGAAAAATATCTATCCAAGCTCTTTAAGCATCTGACTGAATAGACTGCACATTAACTTGGTCTTTGCTGTCTCTGAAAAAAGCGAAATCCGCTGGAAAGTCAGCCATCGTGAAATAAACATTGCACTAACACCCTCATGTCTGCCATCAAGAAAACACTAAGTTATCGGTCAATGCCGACCTTAAGAGAAAGTCGGGCCTGCGAATTGCTCGCTAAGCACTCTTGAAAACAGGTATTTCAAAGTGTGTCGAATTTTCATACAAAAAAACATTTTACGGAAAAATTCCTTATTTCACTTTTAAAACTGCTTATACAAGTAATCCTAACGGTTTGCCGCCTCATCGTGGCTGGGAGGTTTTCCTGGGTGTCGGACTGCGATATGTACAGTGGGAGGATTCGCCTCCCGGCAGGGTCTCCTAAAGCTTAGAAGTCCGGTGTTTCCATCAGGAAGTCTAGCTAAGAGTAAACCAATACCAGAATCCACCATCGTTCTGGTATTAAAGTCGCATAGTGGTAAATCTCCCTCTGATCCGCAAGGGCTGCGACAGCCTGTCGTGGTGACGACCTGGTGCAGACTTTGGCCAGGCTGTCCCCGGGATTCCAGGGAACCACAATGGCTTAACCAGCAAATCTCCAAAAAATGGTGGTTATGCTGGGCCTCGCACAACTAGTGAGTACGGGCCGTTCAAGTATCAAGTATCAAGTAACAAGTAGGTATACAAGCAATTTTCAAGAACGTCGTCTACCTATGTTCAAATTACACCAATGTTCATCGATCCGATGCCATTCACTTTTTACCACAAGTGATTTCATTCTAATACTAATCTGACATTGGCGTAGTAAGCTTTGATAAAAAGTTGTCTCTACGTTTTCCCTCCTGATTTGATTTCCTGAATTTTTTTCTGATTTCTGGAAAAAAGAACAGCTCCTCATGCGTTTTTAGAAAAGTCGGCCGGGAAAAAAAATTTAGCGTCACGCCAGCTGTTCGTCGAACGGTGTCTGAAATCTACAGGTCAACGCTAAGCTCCACTTGAATACTCACATTTCTCATTATGAATGCATTTGGTGTCAAACAACTTCCAAACAACCATAATTTAAAAAAAATAAAATACGATTTTACGAAATACCATGTTCTATACAGAAACGTAATTTACACAGAAATTAACGACCATGACGTCCCGCGACTTCACCTCGTGTTTTGCCCAGTCGAACACGAGCAATTTTCCGTCGGCTGCAGACTTTCTGGTGTTTTGACAACAAAAATCATTGTTCAATAATAAGAGGGCTTTAGGGGGTATGAACAAGACAGAATTGTAGAAGCGACCTTACTCTATCTTTCTGTGAGTGTGAATGATGTGTGCTGGCATTTACTGCGTGTTACTGTGCTCGATACGCGAATGCACTGCTGTGAGCGCTATTTTGCACCGTATGTTGTGTCCATTCCGATGTTCATTACATCTACAAATCCTATACGATGAACATAGCGATTGAAATGAAATGGGAATTGAATGTTAGTCAAGCTATCTATCGACTAGTGAACTTTTTCAGAAAAAAGGTTTTCGTAAATCATTGAGTGTAAAGAATGGTGTCCCTGATCTTAGCCCTACTATTTTGGCGTGCTTTCGATTCGCTATCGAGTGCATATACATAGTGCAGTAAAAGAAAGACTGTGGAACCCACTAAACTGAATATGGACACTATGGTGTCCATATGGTCGATTGGTCCAGGTCGATATGAACACTATAGTGTCCTTAGGAGCGTTATGGGTTAGCTGTGGTCCTCGACTAAGAAACTGTGCATCTATGCACAGAAACGGATTGCACAAAGCAAATCAAGTCTGAGGTAATGTGTTACTATCATTGTTATTATTGTTCACTGTTAGCAACAATTATTACTGCAGCCATTATTATCTCGAGGCGTTTCTAAGGATTCTAAAAGAAGAAAGTTGTTCATTGTGTGGTAGTTGAATAAGACATGGCGAACAACAAAGGAATCTGTAAGTGGGGCAAAAAAATACTTGTTCATTAATTTTGCTGTAAATGAAAATGTTAAAGAAATGCTAGAAGATTCGCAACACTGACATGATTCATTGCAAACCTAAGAGAAAAACGAAATTGGAAAAGAAAAATCAATAAAATAGGAACCAGAAGGAAAAAAAGCAAACAAAAATCGATTTGTATTTCTTCACCTCCAACATTTACGTCGTCATCATAATGTTTAGTGCCGCTTTCAAGTTGTCTGATTATCGCCATCATCTTCCGTTTATCAGATGTATGAAAGGCGTCAAACAGTCGTTGACTCGTGATGGCATCGTTGCAGTCGTTCATACCATTACACCAACAACGAAGATCTCCAGAAGGCTTTCGTAGGCATCCTAAATATGGCGATTCACATCATTTTATGACATATTTAGAAAAACGGCCGAGTTCGGTGGTCAAAGGTTTCTCTAATACATACACGTCGTCTTTGACTTGAGCTCGCACCCCGCCAAGCCTTGCCTTTCATACCTCTGTGGTCGGTAAGTTGGTACCAGACCTGTCTGCTGGGATGGAAGCACCGACCTATGTCATATATTCCACTGGTTGGGATATTTTTTAGACTTTTGGCGAACTTGATAGCACTTTTTATAGAGGACTGACAGAATTACGACGCAATTTTTTGTTCGTGTTTGAAGTTTAGGATATTCGTTTTTGTTTATGTCAATGTAATTGTGTCGTTTAAGTTGTATCACCTACACATCCACTCCAATACACCATTTCATCATAGAATGTTCCCATATAGGCGTATTGTGTCGTCCATTTTAGCGGGAAATGGCCACTCTCAAATAGACGAAAGCGAATTGTCATGTGGTGGGTAAGGAGATTAGGTAAAGAGCTCAGGTACTTTTTTCTCGTTAGTGATTTAGAAGCTAATTCATTCGCTTACCAGCATTCTTGTGCAATTGTTTGCACTCTAATGCACTAAAAATAAAATAAAATAATAAAGCTGTTGGCGTTGATCAATGCCTCAGGGATGTGCCATGCATTCGACTTCATTAAGTATCGTTTGGAGGTGATTGAATGCATATCTGGCCTTTACGATGACTCGCGGTGACCTAACGATGTATCGAGTCAGTGCTGCCATTCTACCAGACAAGTTTGGTACCAATTTGCTGACAGCGGAGATGGAAGACTTTTTTTTGGATAGCCTGGCGCGTGGCACCGAACCCATTTGTACTTCAGGGCGCCTCTAAGCACTGCGCCACATGCGCCGCTTCACGCTACGCTGAAGAAGTAATAGGAAAAATCTGCATAAAAAGATTACTTGTAAAAATCGGTGAAAAAGTGCATTTATTAGTGGAAATTAAAGACACAACAATGTTAATAACAACTGGAACTCAACAACAGAAACCATGAAAATGTGAAAAAATGTAGTAATAAAAATTCTCATTGAAAACAAAATATCTTCAGATTATTTCATAAAAGTTTTTGTACAGTTGCTCTGTAAAATTTTTCTAGATTTTCTACTATCCGTAAGCTAAGAAAAAAAAACGAAGACGGAGAAAAAATCGATAGCCCTGAGTAAGCGGTTTCAGTCCGATAGATTCCTATGGTAGGAACATGGACCCATAAAAACCTTTGTCGGCAAAATTACTGACAAAGCAAATCTTCTAAATCGGAACGTCACTATCCAGTTGTTGTTCATAAGTGAAGTCCGCTGTTTGTTCACTCTTAGGAAAAAAGTGCTAAGACCACTTGTAGAACGTAAAGTGCAAAGTATAAAATGTCAAATATTTCAAGCTAACGTCCCACGGCGACTTTTTTCTACTCAGACAAACTCTGGCGAGTTGTTTTTTCTCCACGACCAAGACGACATTGTTGGTTGTCCCTTTTAAGCGAAGAGCAAGTGTTTTTTCGCATGACGAACACCAACCCAGTGAATGTTCGGCAATTTATCAAAGAACAATCGAACAAGCCATGTTCTTTTGCTCTAAGCGTTACGGGATAAAGAAATAATACATATTTTCAGTGAAACGGCTATGGAGATGTGGGCCGTATTATTGGTGGTGCGACTTAGTGACATAAGTTCATCGATGCTTTTATATTTTTTCTCAATTAATAAGGGCGCGTGTGGCGCACTGGTTGGAGCCACCACCGCGACACACATGTGGAATCGATCCCGCGCCCATTACCCAATAAGCCTTCCATCCCTCCGGAGTCGGCAAATTGCTACCAGACTTATCTGGGACGATAGCATCACTGAATCGATACATCGGTAGGCCATCACGAATCATTGTAAAGGCCAGATATGCATTCAATCGCCTCCAACGGTACTTAGTGAAGTGGAATGCATGGCGCATCCCTCAGGGATTGATCAACGCTGAGTACTTTATTTTGCTTTTTTCATACTCAATTAACTACTTAGCAGTGAGTATTTTATTTCTAATAATTGGATGCACATTCACAAAATGCTACTACTGTTTCTGCTATCGACAGATATTATTGCCAAATTGTTAACACGTCTTCAAAATGAGCAGCCGTAGGTTCCCAAAACAAACAGCACCAAGATACGAAGAGTTGGACGACCTCATTTATTCGATATTTTGCTATTTGGAAAGCATTTTCGGTTTCTTTGGTCTTAGGAGCCCGTGTTACGTTTTTCCAGTTACTTTTTGCCAATGCCCGTTTTCACCGATCCTTCTGACTCGGAAGGAAGCTTGCTAGCTAGTGACTGGCTTCCATCTATTCAGATATCTGGCATCAGTTTACTCCTAGCTCAACACAAAATGCTGATTTTCTTCCTAATTTGCAGGCCATGCTGCTTTAACGAATTTTATTCAATTTATTCAAAAATTTAAACAATTTTATCCAAAAAAACATTATTCTAGCTGGTCGGTCCACTTTTCCACTGTGAGGTGAGAGACATGCTAGGGAGACGATTTTACTGAAGGTAAAAAATCGTTAGAGCTTTGGATAATAGTAATATTAATAATGGGAACAGTGGAAAGAGAAGGGTTACTACTAAATTACTCAGATAAAAAACGCTATTTCACCATTGGTAACACTGGACATTATTGTTCTTGTCTATCGCTGTCTCACTTATTTCATGTAGAAATCAAGGAAGGAAAATGAAACCCGTCGTTGGGAAACCCGCAAATAAACAAGGCAATAAATCAATAAATCAATAACTAGACGATGGAACATACCAGCTGTGTCACGGTACTCGCCAGGATAGATGCAAACGAGTTGATTTCGATCGTAGAGCTTCGACCATTCATACCATTCAATGTGATCAGCTCGAACTTTTATACGACAACCGACAGTCGCCGATGGACACTGCTCACTTACCAACCCGTAGCCTAAAAGATTTCATGAACTCTTCTGGAATACTTCAAATCAGTCAATGCCTATAAACATCAGATGAGCGCTTTGAAATCGTCTGCAGTCTAGATACGACTACTGATTATTGTTCGAAATAATGATAAAAGATTTCTTTTTTCACTGTTCTTCTTCTAATGTCCCTTTAATAAAACGTGTTACAATTTAATGAGTCTCATGATCATCAAAAAATCCGAGTAGTTATCTAATACCCTTGTAATTTTTAAAGTCTTGGCTCCGAAACTACGATTATAAAGTCAAAATTCCTAAAATTAAAACTGCAGAATTGAAAATCAGGGATAAAATTCCAGAAATCTGTAGTCGTTTTCCAGAATTCAATGGAATGGCCATAATTTCAGCGTTCAGCACCAGCTTACGGTAAGCTCAAAAAATAATTCGACCCTTCGAATATGTCGAATATTCGAAATCGTTCGAGGATGTTACCATTAAAGAAGAGAAGTGCTTAAGAAGTAAAAAGAAAAGAGAATAATCCATTAAAACTTTATATAGCACCGGCAGGTAGTGCTAAAAATAAACGTAGAAAACCACTCGTTTTAAGCTACTCAGATGACAAAGCCACTTCATTTTTTGTGATTAGCAAAATAAACTCGTGGTATTTTAGTGGTTCTTTCAAATATTATTTCGAATTTGGTAAATTTTTCACGATGTGTTGTAAAACGCCCTGCAACACACACGTGGAATCGATCCCCGCACCCATGGCCCGCCAAGCCCTCATCCCTACGGGGTCGGAAAATTGGTAGAACACTTGTCTGGGACGATAGCAGCATCGGCTCGATACATCGGTAGGGCACTACGAGTCATTGTAAAGGCCAGATATGCATTCAATCATCTCCAAACGATGCTTGATGAAGTTGAATGCGTGGTGCATCCCTCAGGAATTGATCAACGCCGAGAGTTTTATCTTTTATTTTTTATGTTGCAAAACAGAAATGGTACGTGCTTTTCGATAATATCTTTATCTTCAACTTTAATTCAAGCTCATTTATGATTCTCTTTTCCAATGTTGCTACTTCCTTTTTCCTTCTGCACAGTTCTATTTTAGTATGGAAAGTGATGTGAAAACAACGAAATTGAAAACAATTTCAATTTCTTCACCATTTTTGACTTATGAGGTCCGCCATAGAAACCTATAAATAGCACAGCCAGTAGGAAATCCGCCTATGGAGCATATGTGGCTCATCGAACGCTACGAACCACAATGGAATCTCATCACAAGGTAGTTATGATTTTGTGGGAATGAACAAGAAACTTATGTAATGCTAAATGTATGTCTAGCTTTATAATTATGAATAATAAATGTAATTAATGTATAACTTTTTATTTACTGTCTACTAATTTCATGGTAGAGTATTACGTGAAATACAGCAGCAGTGATGCAGAGATAATTGCAAACCTCAGATCCCAGGCTAGATGCGAACTCACGATTATCCTTTCCAAAGGCTCGCGTGTTACCCACCTCACCGCTGAGGCCATCGTTTTGCTTTTCTCTTGACCAGGCTCTTACCCTAATAGTGCCATCAGCAATCACCTGCCAATATGATACTGATTGGATTCGTTCGTCTACCGTTATCGTATTCCCGCCGGCAGCTGCATACATTGTGATTGTGATATTAATGGATTTCCTGTTATGAATGACGCTACTCAAATATTTGTGCGTTCGAAACAATAAATTCGAGAATTTACGGCAGTTTTCCGCGTTTGCAATGAATGACAGCAACATGCACACACACGCCCACAAACGCAAAATTGCACAGCAACCAGATATAGCTAAACAGCAGACACGAACGCGTTGACAACGCCTGAGTGTTACGAAAGCAGCGGAACCATTGGTCATCACCTCGCCACACCAAGACCACTCGATGGCGTTCTACTTCTATCAGGTGACATTTCATGATAACTATGAAGGATAAGACGTTGGATGTTGATCAATCCCTGAAGGATGCACCATGCTTTCAACACCATTTGTAACATCATAAAGGTGATTGAATTCATGTTTGCTATACACAGTGAATTGCAATAGCTCACCGAAAGTCAATGTTCCTATCCTCACAAACTGGCTATACACCACTTAGGTAATCCCAGTGGGATGGAGAGCTTCGTTGCTCAAGGACGCAGAAACGAACTAATGACGCTGCGTGTGTTACATGGCACCGATAATTACTGTGCTACACGTACCCGTATTTCATGATTTGTCTAGGAATACAGAGGAAATTGTTAAGATTCTACCAGTTGAAAAACCGAATGAAAGCCGGTTGTCACCATGAACATAGACTTATTAACCATGCGGCTACTACTCTCGATCCAATTCACCTACGCTGTTATAGTCAAGTGCCTTGCTTCAGCTTAACTAAGGTCAATTACTGTTAGATGACATATTTGCGGGTTCACTCTCGATCGCAGCTTCACGACCTCCATTCTGTTCTTTCTTCGATAGCTAGTAGGATCGGCTATGAATGGTGTCACACTCAGTTTTTTATTGGGTAATCATCTCAAGTCTTTAATAGAGGTCAAAGCCGCAATTCGCTATTGGCTTCGGAGTTTTTATATCTGAATAGAATACGAAAATAGTAGCAGCACAATTTTTTTGAAATTTGCCTACATCGTTTATCCTTCGCTGTCATGCTTTCCACGCTATTACGAAACATACGAGATCAGAAGAAAAAACAATGACTCTACAAAGAATTCTGTTTAAGCAAGAAGAAAACAAAACTATTTGCAGTGAAGCGGTGCCGAAGATAAGAGAATGTCATTCATCAATCACTCTCTTGGTCAGCGTTAATGTTATTCATTCGCCCCTCCTTGTTCGATGCCAAAGCGGACACGCTGGGGTCAGAAGTAGTTATGGTCTAGTCGGGCTGCTGCAGAATGGATGTGCAGCGCTATTTGTTAAGCACCAAGACTAGAACCATGTCTATTATACTTCCAAGTCACTTGATTGATGTCTTTTGCTGAACTTACGTGTATGCCTGATATAATCTCTATACACAAAACCGTAGACATGAAGATTACGACGAAGTGTACATGATATATATATATATATATATAAATATAAAGAACCACCATAGTAGAGATAAAA